CCAGTTTTAATTCTTGGTGTTTGTGCCAATAGCAAAAGAATGCCAATGGTTAAATAAAAGCAACCCATGAAGTCTACATTTCTTGCTCATTGTCCTGCAAATTGTTATATGTAAACCTTCTACTGTTTAGAGATTGCTGGTTTCTCATTCTTCTTCTGCCTATAAGCAGCTGCCATTATATCCACTGCCTGTTAAATGTGGGTGGTGGGAATGGGAAGATTGGGCATTTTTATTAATGTAAATTTGAGTAAGTTCTTATAAGAATAGTTAGAGATGGTTTATAAAGTGTAATCAATTCTACCCCTTTTCTTGATATATTCTTCTAAAAGTACATTACCTCATAACAAGCATCAGCTCAGGAAGCAAGTATTCCAAACTCTTTCTGCATCTTTCTTCCATTTGGCATTTTATTGTGCTGCTCAAAGCTTTTAAGACAGCGTTCAGAGATTGCAAGATGACATTTTTTTGCTGTTGGCTAGGATTCAGAGTCTTGAAAAATAGTTTATTTAAATTTTTGCTATGATAATTGGAGATTAGACAGTAGTTTCCTAGAAAAATAGGAACAGAGGGAGCATGACATTTGCATGATCCTTCTTAAACCAAATTAAATTATAAATGTGGCTGGGATGCACAGTGCTTTTACAGCACTATGGGAGGGCCTGCTGTGGAAGTATTAGAAACCACCAGGTGCTGCTTTGGGCAACAAAAAGAATGAGAGGGAGTGTTTGAAAGATTGTCCGAATTGGAAAAAAAATGTATAAAATGGCAGTCAGTTCTGTTATATTTCTTTGTGTGTGAAATAACATCATTTTGTGGAAAACTGACAAAAGTTTTTTATTTAATTTTTAAGTGTCAAATATTTGGATATCAGTTTAAAAAAAACACAACATTCTGTATCTCTCAAGGTTCATCATTGAAGAATATTGGAGAGACCAAACGTAAAGTGTTTCAAGACTCACCTAAAAGGAGATCAAGATCCAGAAGTAATTGAAATTTGTGTTGTGTGGAATTAGTTCTTCATTATAAGTAGCTATTGAGTGTACCTCTTATGTAATCGCCCACATATCATAACCTCTTTATTTTCTCTCAGATGTTGTCTTCCTTGACTTTAGAATTTTAATGGATCCCAAATTAAATATCTAAACACTGTAGTGCTGAATTTTGTTCACCTTCCTCAGTGTCATATTGCGAGAAATGTAATTGGAATTGTACCTGTATCAGATGTTTTTAGTCCATATATTAGTGTACGTTTATATATAGTTTTCTACAAATGAAAGCATGTCAGTTCAATCATTCCCCATCCAAACCCTGCCACCCTAACTTGCAAAAATATTTTTTTTAAACGCTGGCTTTCTGTAAATAGCAGGTTCTCCTGGACCCATTTCAGTCTGTTTGCAGATTCAGAGCTGCTTTGAATTTAAACTGATAAAAAACTTATAGCCATTAGATATGGAAAAAAATTGACAAGTAATACTTCATTTTAAAGCTGCAGCTTTATTTTAAATATTTACAACAAATGTTTCCATCAAAACAGCACATTTTAGCTGTCGAGCAAAATTTTAAATGTTAACTATAAGAGAAGATTGTTCAGTAAATATTTGTGCCCTGGGGCTCTGTAATCTCCATATTAAAGATGGTCTATAGCCTCAGTACTGGAGTGTCTGATATTAAAAGTGTATTAGGTATCATTTCATCATATGAAACAACTTCTTACCCAATTATCTCTCTCTGAGGTGTAGTGGATATAAACTATAGCTAAATCTGCTAGATGGCTATATAGCTTAGTCACTGGGATTTTGTATTTGAGTCAGCTGTTTGAACTTTTACATTGAATTAAGCAAATGAATGGTTAAACAACTTGTGAATTATTTAAGCAGTTCAAAATGATCTTAGTGAATTGAGTGGTAGTTTCTTGTTCACAAAACAATTATGGTCTTCTGTTTTGATGATTACACCTGTTACATAGAGAATTAGAAATTGCTATGCCAGAAAAGATCAGTGGCCTGTCCAATTGGTGATATCCTATGTCTGACAGAGACCCCTTAATACATGTCTCTTGTACCTTCATTTATATTTTTGGGAGAAATAATTAAAGAATGAAGATGACTCAAAAACTTTGGTACAGTGGTAAGACACTGTTACAAAGAAATAGGACAGTTACAGCTGTAGGATATTCATATTTTATTTGACGATGTGAAACGAATTTGAGACGATCTTTACACTAGTATTTACTCAGAAAAATCTTCCAAATTGATTACTTAGTAATTAGGAGTTTGGATGCATTTTAGAACTGTTGTTCAACAATAGAAATTGGACCCTAGCCATCAAGAAGTTTATCAGATTTGTTAATGGTAACCATGTTTTAAAAGTAATGACTGAAAGAAAAGTAACTTAACTAGATCAGTTCAAGATAATTTCAAAGTGGGCTTTAGATTATTTTTCATGTAAGTTTCCCCCATCCCCCCCATTCCAAGGTAACTTACATGGAAATAAAAGAAAACAAAAAAAGAGGACAAAGGAACCAACAGAAGATTTTGAAGTTCAGGAAGCACCTAGGAAAAGACTCAGGATGGATAAACAGAATAATCGGAAGGTAATTATATTGTTGGTTTGTTTGGGTTGATTATAGCAGCACCACTCACACTGCTATAGTTAAGTTTGTCAGCATTTCCATTTTGAGGATTTAGTATTTACTCTTAACTGTATCGGATCAAATTTCCATAGATTTGTCTGAGGGGCATTGAAACTTAGCGTGTTTAATCTTAGGTAGAGACATCTGAAAAGGTATCCTTATGGGATACTTATTCTTAACTTTAAGTATATGCTGAAGATGACATTGGTAGGAACTCAGCCTGCTTTCAGTAATACTCTTCCTTTATTCCTTTTTCATGCATCAAAATTTAGACATGTATTGGAGAAGGTTGTCTCAATCAGATGCTAAATAAAGCATAAAAATACTGAAAAAATATTTTTAAAAATAAAAGTTAAATCTATAAATCCTTTTCAAGGCGACATGTTATTCTTACTCCAATCTGTTAGATTTGGAAATTGCCATACGTAGGACAAATTACTGTGGTTCAGATTTCAGGCTTTTAACTGTGGCTTCTTTTCATTCTGACTAGTTTTTGAGGCTTGAATTATACTTTCTTTAAATGCCATCTTTAAAAGCTTTCCTAGATCGCTAAGAGAGCTGCTTAGTTCATATGCTCAAATGCTGTAAACATTCAGGGTACATCCTTAACTTCATATAAACAGACCCAGTGAACTCAGCAGGATTATTTGTGTGGAAAGTTAAATGTGTGGAAGTATTTTTTTTTTTTTTTTTGGCTGTCTTTTGCTATATAAAAACCTGCTGTAATGTAGTGTTGTGAACCACTGGCGAGGAGGCTGTGGGTCCAATGGTTAAGCGAAAGGGAACTTTTTAAGTCAGCGGTTGGCAACCTGTTAAGGCTATGGGGTGGATTGACCCAGTTCGGGTCAGAGGAAGCTGGGCACTAGGAGCCAGCCCTGAACTTTACCTTACAGGAAGGCTTGTTACACTTCTGTAAACAGAAGGTCCCAGACCTTGGAGGATGGTTCCTTTCAGGCTGTTATATATGAATTGTCTTTTGCCCTTTCCCTTCTTTCACAGACCCAGAATAGCTCCGGCTATTTGCTCTATCACAATAAGTGACTTTAAAATACCCCTTTAAAATCATTTGGCTGTCATCTGCTATGACGTGGTGAAGAGCACTGAAGTTTTCTCCCTTCCGTTTTTCACCCTTGTGGCAGGCTTTGATTAAACTCTCCTGGGGAATGAGAATCCTTAAGATTACTCATGAACTTTTACTTCTTGCATGGGAACAGCATGTAACTATTAACCTTTTTGTGTCCTTAGTTGCTGTTTATGGAATTTGAATGCTGCAATGTAAAATTACTGGGTGGTAATTCATACTCCTTTTTGATAAATTATTAGGCTCGTTGATATCACTTATGGTGCATGTAGAGCACATGTTAGCACAATGGACAATACATTAAAGACGTTTTAATTTACAACAAAAGCAAGGACACATTCCATTATGAGTGAATCTTACCTTGTATTCTCAATCATCTCATAAAGCGTGCATCAAAAACGTATGAACTTGATGGGTCTATATACATTTATAAGTAATCATTTATATAATCTTTGTAGAAGTCAGAAAAGGTATAGTTTAGCTTATGCATAAACAAACTGCTAATGATTTCCACTAAAGTCATGTATATTTTGGGTTTTGTTCTCTTCTTTTCCCCCTTCCCTTACTTCTTCCCTGTTCCCTACCTCCCCCACCAGACAGGAGAAACCACATGCACAAGTTGTTTCCTTGTAGCCAGGCCTTAAGGTATCCTACAAGTGAACAATGGAGTGCCTGGGGAAAACTTCAAAATACCAAAAATCCTTTTGTAAATCTATATATATATATATATAATTTTATTATATCAGTTATCAGGTTCTTCCATAATGCCACTGCTATTGATCAGAAGAGCAGCATATAAGAAAAAGCAATCAGGGCTACCATTTAGGTGGTTTTCTACTTCAATAAATCCATAGATAAGAAGAGACTGAGAGTGGGTCTGTTGCTTAAGCCAGTAAGGAAAATGTCTTATTTTGACGAGATGCATGTTCAGAAAATCCAACAGCTGATGTAAATTCCCCCAACATTTTGATCTAAAACCTTTTATGACAGATTTTTCTGTCAGAAGCAAATTCATACCATTTTTACATTCCCTTTAAAAAACAGTGTTTTATAATGGAAATGCTGGCACAACGTTAACAATAGTAATGCAAAACTGGCACTGCTATAGGTAGTAAAGTTGAAAACAAGGATCTGAGGTTTAACATTTTGTGCAGAGGTGATCTTTCAAATTTATATATTTTTGCTGCAATTTAATGTTAGTAATTTTAAAGATTCTGGCTTGACCAGTATAGACAAAAGAATGATAGATTAGCTAATGTAAATGCTTTATAAATGGAGATTCCCTTTTCGTGATGTGGTTATCTTCAGATACTCATGTATTTTAGTTTGGGATGGATAAGCGGGACATTGGCATATTATGTTCTTTAATTTTTTTTGTTTTGTTTTCTGGTTTTGTTACCCTCTGCTGTAGTTGGTTTTGAAAAAAAAATAAACATGACTAAAATGGGAACCTTGCATAACTTAACTACATTAGAATACAGAGCAGGATATTTGCAGAGACACTTTCTTTCTAATAACATAAATCCAGGAATAATTACCACCTTATTCCAATCACTCATAAATTAGGAGTTTTTTTATTTTTATTTTTCATTTTTTTTGTGACAGAGGGAGACAAGCAATGACAAAACAGCAAAAACAAACTCTACTAAGGTCACAGAAACCTCCTCTTCACAAAAGAACCAGTCAGGTAATGTGGTCAGAATAAGTTTTAATTTAACTTTTTCAATTAAACCATTTATACTAAACAAGTTGTCTGAGACAGCCAACTAAAGTTTGCTGGACCTATAATGAGTTACACCTGTGAAACCCCAAGTTGGGAGGTGCATTCTTTTGCACTGCTACTGTTTTGCAGCAACATATTCAATTGAAATTGTGTACTGCTGATTTTAAAGCAGCAGTTCACAAGTTCACCATTTGATGGCACCAATTAAAAACTATTCCCCAGTGGTATCAAAGAGCAGCAGTAACAATCCTGTTGTACAAATGCATAATTAATTACACATTTATTTGATAAAATAAGTAAAGCAACAGTCAAACTCTTCAGATCATCTGTGATCTGAGATGCCTTTTAAAGGATTTGGGAAGGCAGTGTGGAGAGTGAGAGGGAATTATAAAACAGAAGTGTACAGTGAATGGTGCAAAGAACCGATTTGTTAATGATTTACAGGTTTAAGATAACTTTTATAAGTATGCATAAATACACCTCAGAATGAGCTGAACTTAATATCTATGGTACTTGTTGCCATTTTTAATTTAATGTATCCACTTTCTCTGTATATAAATGTTTGTTGACAACGATTCAGATTTCAGTGCTATTTAGGCCTTCCCATATAGTGTTCATCTGAGCAAATAGCATCTGCCCATAAGGTCATAAGGCACAGAGTGTTATAATTTAAAAATAATTTAGCAAACTATTTGGGGGGGGATCTTTAACAGTTCTTACTATATATTTGTTTAATAGAAGACCTCTTTATTCTTAAAAGCATAACAAAACCCACCATTGTTTCAAAACTAAATCTATGTTCACTCCCAGTACTATGTAGGTGACCAGAAGACCTAACTGATTCCTTCCCTTATCAGAAGGACTTTTTTAAATGGCTTCAGGGAGATAACGTTTTAAAGTTCCAAACTTCACTTTGTAAACCAAAATTATTTTACAGCAATGAAAAATCTGTCTGATGCATGTAAACCACTGAAGAAGCGAAATCGGGCTTCAGCAGCAGAATCTTCAACTCTTGCTTTTAGCAAGGGTTCATCTCCTTCAGCTTCCTTAACTGAGAATGAGGTAAAAAAAAAGTGGTATTCACACACAGTCATTTAGTTCTAAAAAATGTCAGGTGTGAATCTTTTGCTTATAAAACAAACAAAACAAAACAAAAATCTCTAACATTGGTGCTCTAGATGAGTTACAGTTCTGACCTTCTGTGAAACCTGTTAATGTGTGCATTGCAAATTCATTTATTGTAACAGGAATGTCCACGTTGGGGATGTCAGATATTACTGTGGTTTTTAAATGTATCTACCAACAAAGTTTTAGAATTGTAAACTTTTCATAGAGGCAAAGTAAAATTCCAGTGTGTTCTGTATTTTCTTCTACAGATTTTATGTAAGTGTTGACTACATTAGTTACATTATGTAACTTAATACTGTCATGTTGCCATAGCTTTTATATTGAAGCAATTTGCTGATCCTCTATATTTGGTCTTGAACTTTCATGGACAATTTTACGAGCAGAACCCCTTAAACTCACACTAGCTTTTAGTCTGTTTGTTGAAGTACTGTTTCTCTGTGATGCAAGTAGCTTAATTTCCAGTATAGTTAAACAGGCAGTGAAGGATGTATCTTTTTGATACTTACTAATCATAGTCTTAGGCCTGCGTATTTGGTACTGTAATGCTCTTCGACTGACATACAATAAATGAAATGTATGTATCAGAAGTGTATTAATACAATAAATGGAAACCATTCTCCAGGTCATCTGTACTGTTAAAAATGATCACCAGCCAAAAACAGCAGCACAAGAACAGCATGTACATGCTGTATTGAAATGGGGATCCAGAAACATAGTTATTAAGTCCTGGGTTAAGAGCCAGAGGCAGAAAGCTTCAACATCTAATGCTAAAATGTTATATGTAGAGGAGTGTAAAAACACAAGAGTATAAGATTATGAAGGAAGGTAGTGATGTGTTGCTGAACATAGAAGACATCAATCGGGCTGTATTATCACCTCCTCTGGCTTGGTTTTGGTGAAAAACTACAGTACTTGTCTACCATTCTGACTAGTACAAGATAAGTACTTAGATTATGTTCTGTAAATGACTTATTTTCACAAATTGGAACGGCGGCATATTAAATTGTTATGTATATGGCTGAATTAATTAAATGTATTACCAGAAAAAAAAGCCTTCAAAAACTACTAGCTTGGGAAATAGCCAAGTAATATAGTGCTAGTTATCATTTTCTTCCTGTCTTACCAGCTTCCACGGTTGCAGAACAACTGTTGAGGCTTTCTTTCTAGTGGCTGTGTATGTTTTGGATTTGACTACATAGTTCAACTCCATTCTAAGACAACACTACTGGGCTTTCTGGCTTTACATTTATATCCCTGTATATAGTAATTTCGGGGGGAGGAGAGTTTCTTCAATATCTAAATAGCGATTTAAAATCACATTTCATAAATCCTTTTCTGCAAAGGCTCAATCTTTACAAACTTGAGGAAAATCAGAGGCCGAATTCTGCTTACACATAAAGATGAATGTGAGAAATGGTGCATGCAGGTAGAACCTCTCAGAAATGTTGGCTGCTAACAGTGTACCCTGCCAGTCAGCAAATGAGTTAGGAGGGAAGGAGGCAAATTAACATACACTATGCCAGAGTTATAGTTAGAGAATACAGGGAAGTGAAATGACTTTTGTTTCTAAGGGAGGTTGAAAATATCAAAATTTCTCCTTGGCATATCCTCTTAAAACTCTCTCTTTACAAAAAGTAATTATTTTGAAAAGTAGCTTGACGTGAGCTGGTTCCTTAGTTGGTCAACACTGACTACCTTTTTTGTCAACTGAGGATCCGATCCAGTGTGATTTCTATAATAATAGATATTCTGCCATTTAAATATGGCAGGTGTTTCTGAACTTATTGCTGATGCATTCCATCAAATAAAGCAAGATGTAAATAAACTTTGTTTTTTGTGGGTGGTTTTAAAAAACATTTTTTCTCTGTAATGTTACTTAGCACTTGTCTAGATTGCCAAATGTGCATGTGGCATGAGGTGTTCATTTGGAGAAAAGCTTTCTCCTTGTTAATGAAGGGAAGGGATTTTTAAAAATAAATAACGAGCAAAAGATGTAATGAGCAAATTGATCTTTGTTTTCATGGGACCGTCTTGCAAAACTAGTTGAATAGGATACAGTTCTTGATATTAAATATGTTTGATCATCATCTTTATATTTCTGTTTGTGGTCATTTTTATACCACTTACCTGTTATCTTTCTAAAGAAGAAAAAAAAATAATGCACATGGCTCTACTCCAGTGATGTTTGACTCATTTAGTTGCATGGGGACAGTCCACAGACTCCTTATGGATCTGGAAATTTTTCAGTGGAGCAAATGGTGACAAAGTTAATTTCCAGACCTGTGGGGAGTCCCGTGGGCTAGATGACACCAGCTTGGTCACTCCCGCACTGCTTGTGTGGGTGAACCCACACAGGCATATCTGCAGTGCAGTGAAGTCAGTTGCTGGTCCCTGATTCTTATCAGGAGATGAGCAGGTGTTGGTTCTGGAATGCTGACACACTACATATTACATAGCATCTGATAAAGTGAGCAGCTGCTTACAAAAGCTTGTGCCCCTCTGAATTGTTAGTCTATCAGGTGGCCACTCTGCCCTGCCTTCTACATATTATATGTTGGGGTTTGTTGGAGACTGCACAAAATTCTTGCATGTTAGCCCAATGCTGCTGATTTTTATGAAGGAACGTATTTTAGTTTTTAAAAGAGAGAGAGAGATTCACTAACCTGGTATTTCCGACAATCTCTTTGAAATTTTTAAGTGCTGCTTTTATATTTTGGTGGAGGAAAAAATCTATGTGAATAATAAGGCCAAAAGTTTCAAGTGATTAGTTTGGTTGCCTAACTTGGGGGGGTGGGGGAATAAAAGACCTTATTTTTCAAAGGGCATTTAAGATTTTGTTAAAGGGTAGTTAAGCGTTTGATGCTTCTTAAAATTAAGCTCTTTTAAGATGTTATAAATTGGGCACTTAAGATTGCTAGTTGTTTTTGAAAGCTTTTGGCTGTCACCAAGAAAAACTTAAAGTACTGCAAAAGAGTTAAAAATTAACACACACAAATCAGTGCATCAGAAATACTATTCATTCACCTAATTTTTAGGAGAAAGTAATTAAATTTTCCATATGGGCACTTGACATCACAAATGCTTCTCCTCTACTATCTTATGTGAAACATAATTATGTTTTAAAATTGAATTCTTAATGGACAATTTATGATAAAATAAAACTAGAAGGTTATTAAAATGCTACCAAATCTGTAGATAAGGACAGAAACCTTGTATTGCATATATCACAACCCAGTATAACACCTTAGTAGTCTTGTGGTCTTTGTAGGAGAAGATCTAGGCATTTGATTTCATTTTTAGAGAATAAGGCAAGAGGTAACAGATTTCATTTTCTCTACAGCAAAAATTGAATGGGTAGAATAAATTGCTTGGTAGTACAGGTGCCATTTTAGTGTAAACAGTATTTTCAGTTAATAAAAGATTTCACACTACCAGAAATTCTAGATTATTTGCTCACTTCTTTGGCTGTGTTCATGATAGCATCTACCTAGTTCAGCTTTTCAGTCAAACTTGGCAGATAGAGAGAGCTTTCAAAACAGTATCAGCATCATAATTGCATTGGATAGGTATTTTCCCAAGCGTTGGTTTAGAATCCACATCTTTAATAGAGGGGGGGAAACCAATCTCAAACGTGAATATTTAAAATTCTTAGCCAGGCTTTCGTTGGGAACACCTGTGAGAAGAAGGAATTTGAGTAGACCAGGACATAGCTGTTTACAGAAGCCTGAGGACGAGCCTGTGGAATTTTAACATAATTCTCCATCCTCCTATAGAGAGAATTCTCGCTTCTTTCTATAACTTACAGTATCAAACAAGCTGGATTGTTACTCATAAGTACAACTTCTCCTGTTTACAATGCCATCATAATCCAAGATACCTACTTCAAATTGTACTCTTTTTGCATACACTAAACTGTATAGTTTGTGGCAGATCTGTTATCATCTGTTTTTAATGGGGTTAGCAAATACACACACACAGTGAAGAAAACAGACCTACAGTCTTAACACCAAGGTAAGATATTTGTTAAAGAAAGCAATCTTAATAAACCATGTGCAACTTGTAATTAAAACACTATATCAATTTCATTTGTCAGCCCAGGAATCTAATTTTGTTACAATATACAAGTAAAATCCTCATAATAAAATGTTCTAAAAAACATAAAAACAAGCATCCAAAAATAGCAAAATCCTAAATGGTAAGAAAGAAAGCAGGTGGGATTTTGAAGAATTTACTGTCATAAGAAAAGTAGTTCAAGTTAGTTTTCTAGGCTTGCAAAGTTATTTCATGCTTCTGGCACTGTTTCCCTAGGTTCTTCTCAAAAACAATGCCCTGTTCAATATGTAAGAATCATCTAAAATGACCAATTATTTTTAAGCCCTCCACAACTTTTTTTCCAATAAATTATCTAATGTCTGTTTCTTGTGTGCACAGAATTAAGACTTGTAACAGTTGGGATGAACTTTTTCCTTTGTGGTTCAAACCACCAATAAACACAACTAGTGGTATAATTTTGGGGAAACATTGCAAGTAATTGGACTTCAGTGTCTTACTACATAGCATCACCAGGGCCTACAGTAGTTGAGGAGACTTATATATTGCCCATCATATTGTTACTGCTTTGTTGGGATGCTTCCACATTCACATGAAAAAAAGTTCTAACCCTGAATATTTGTTTGATAGCAACATATTCTACACAGAAATTGAGTTTCTTGTGTGTTTGTTTTCTTCTTTGTAAACTTAGACTTCAGAGCAGATTCTGTTTATTGCATGTTCACAAAGTAGTTTTTATTCCACCTCCATCACCATGGAATCTTGAGTATTCATAGGCAACCAATAATGTTACATGTTCTTATAGTTTATAATTCATATTCTAAGTATATTCAGAAATGCAAAATATATCCTTATTTCAAACGTCAATCTATTGCTAATGATAA